AGCGAGTCGCTATGATTTTGAATGTATACGTCAAAATACGGTGTGCTAGTGGAGAGTGTAACTTGCTTAGCTAAATGAATCTTGGGGTTCAGTCCCTGAGCCCATTATGTGCCTCTGTAACCCTTTCCACTACCGCCCACAACATGGATATGGGGTGCATAATAAAGGAACTAAACTATTGGAGAGGACGGGGTTCAAGTCCACGGGTGCCACCACAAGGCACTCGTGGGACGGGGTTCAAGTCCACGGGTGCCACCGCAAGTACTCGTATCATTTATGTTGGCCTGAGGGGCCTGACGGCTGAGTGAACAGCGCTCGGGATTCGTAGTCCTAAGGTTCCGGGTTCGATCCCCGGCGGAGACGGAAACACACTGGCAGTTTTTTTTCGCCCTGATGCTATTGTTCACCTAGCAGTAAATAGGTACCTGGGAGTTAGACAGCTGCTACGGGCTGCTTCCTGGGGGTGTGTAACAAAAGAGCCCTGGTCTAGGACCGGGCCGCCGGGATGCTAAGCCCCGAAATCATCTCAAGATAACATGCCTTGGGTACTGCTCGGTTACTCCCTTCCTTTCAGAGGGGGAAGAGAGCGCTGAAATAGATGTTCGGGTTAAAGGTTCCTCCTTCAAGAAGTGCCGGACCAACCGGGCTGTGGTGGGTATGTGGGCCTGCGGGCCGCTCCAAGCAGCAGCCTGGTGGACCAAACTCTCACGGGTCAAGCCTGCCCTCGGGCCGGGCTTGGGGAGTAGAAGAACTCCCAGAACCCCATCAAGCAGGTATCAAGCAGAGGGAATACAGAGAACATATACGGCACGCATAGACGAGATAAAGCACCTAAATTATTTGCACCACCACAAAGCCTATGATTAGGGGCATTATATCTCATCATCATCATATCTTACAGTCTCCGTGGTGTAGTGGTAAGACACTCGCCTGGCGTTCCGCGAGCACTTTGTCATGGGTTCGTATCCTGGCCGGGGAGGATTTACTGGGCGCAAATCCTTAACTGTAGCCTCTGTTTAACTCAACAGTAAAACGTGTACTTGGTTGTAACAACGATTCTTCGCGGCGGGGATCGTATTCCAGGGACCATAGGATTAAGGACCTGCCCGAAACGCTACGCGTACTAGTGGCTCTACAAGAATGTAACAACTCTTCTATATATCTCAAAAAAAAAAAAAAACTCGCAACATATACATGGAAGATACTGGAAGTCCAGGTCCCAAATTCACACAGAAATATAAGATACTGGAGCGCAAGATATAGAAGGTTGTAGCATAGAGCCAGTGAAGACCAGAGGTCCACAGACACAGCAGAGAACACTGAACGCACCAGAGGTCCACAGACACAAGCAAAGAACACTGAACGCACCAGAGGTCCACAGACACAAGCAGAGAACACTGAAGACCAGAGGTCCACAGACACAAGCAGAGAACACTGAACGCGCCAGAGGTCCACAGACACAAGCAGAGAACACTGAACGCACCTGAGGTCCACAGACACAAGCAGAGAACACTGAAGACCAGAGGTCCACAGACACAAGCAGAGAACACTGAACGCACCAGAGGTCCACAGACACAAGCAGAGAACACTGAACCCACCAGAGGTCCACAGACACAAGCAGAGAGCACTGAAGACTAGAGGTGCCACAGACACAAGCAGAGAACACTGAACACACCAGATAACACTGAACACACCGGAGAACACTGAAAACACCAGGCGCACCACAGCTCCTCACTGAACATAAGAAATGTTGCAAGAACACGAGCGGTGGTGTTCAAGACCAAGGTGTTCACTCTCAAGTCCAGCCTGGCCCCGGGCCGGACTTGGCGAGTACAACTACTCCCACAACCCCATCCAGGTAAATCCAGGTACAGGTACAAGAGAGAGTTGAATGATCAGCTGCGGAAAGTGTAGGACCCGCTGGATTGTGATGGATACGTTGGCCTGCGGGCCGCTTCAAGCAACAGACTTGTAGATCAAGTTATCACAAGATAAGCCTAGGCAGAGGCTTGGAGCGTAGAAGAACTCTCGAAAACCACGACAGGTAAAACAGTCAAGATCACACTGGTCCACTACACCACAAAATCCTCTATTCCTTCTCAATCCTCTTCGTCATTTGAAGTTGACTACAGCTGAATGTGTAGCCAAGCTTCCCTAGCGACCGTATGATCAAGCAGACTGTTGGTCATTGCTAGACTCATCAAACACACCAATCACAGCCCAGCTGGCCAGGGACTTGTTGTAGAAGCATCACAGTTCCCTCTTAGGGGCTTCAATATTCGGGGCAGCACCGTTGGTCTTGCTGGCCGCAGCATACTGAACAATATCGGCCCGTCTTACAGCGCCAATTTGAATGTGTGCTTTTGGCGGGTGAATGTTTAAGGAAGTTGTTGTGGTGTGGTGGTGGCAGCTGTCAGGCCCTCAACCCTCGGGGGAGAGCTTGCCACTGTACCAACTACCATTGTAAACCTGATACCACTGTAGGTTTACACACTGGTGCTCTTAAATATAGTTCCTTAAACAGTCTACACAATATTTACAGTTGAGTGTGACCTGGTACCACTGACCTGGTACTACTTGTACCACACGGGTACAATGGTACGGTCAAGGAAACTCTTAAGTCTCAAGTGAGATGAGAAACTGCGGCTGCCACCGCCCCCATTACACATTGGTTACTACAAAGTAGGCATCCATCAGTCTCAGGAGACTACGGCGCTCTGCAGTGGCCTCTCCAGGGCGCAGAGCCAGAGTAGGTTGAAAGGGGAAGAAGCAGTTACCCATGCACCAGGTCCACCCCTCTCTCCACGGCGTCGAAAGTCTTGTAGTATTATCAATACCACATGGGTATTGATAATTACTAATTAGGGCATCACCAGTAGTTCATGGGGTGGGGGGGGGGTGACCTCCGCGGCCTGTAGACTTTAATTACTACTCAGAAATTTCTTCTTTGGATGTAATCACTTAGTGACGGTTATGTTAAGCAATTAAATACTGTTGAATTTGGTAGTTCCATGCCAGGAGGTTCAAGGGCCTTGATGCCCTACACGAGAGACAACAACGGAGGGAAAACCTGTGACACAAAGAGGAAATTTTATCAAGATTTTATTTAATCAAAATTATGATGAAGAAGACAGTAAAGTAGCCGTCACAACTGCAAGAAAAATGACAGGTTGGATAACAAGAACTTTTCACACTAGAGATGCTATACCGATGATGATACTCTTCAAGACGCTAGTGCTCTCTAGAGTGGAGTACTGCTGCACAATGACAGCCCCTTTCAAAGCTGGAGAAATTGCTGACCTGGAGAGCGTGCAGAGATCCTATAATGCTAGATTCCACTCAGTAAAACATCTAAACTATTGGGACCGACTGAAATGCCTAAATTTTTATTCTCTTGAGCGCAGGCGGGAGAGATACATAATAATTTACACGTGAAATATAGTAGAGGGGCTGGTCCCAAACCTGCGCACAGAAGTAACACCACATGAGACCAGAAGGCATGGCAGGATGTGCAGAATACCCCCGTTGAAAAGCAGAGGTGCAACAGGTACTCTGAGCGAGAACTCTATCAACATCAGAGGCCCGAGACTGTTCAACACGCTTCCACTACACATAAGGGACATAACTGGCCGACCCCTCACAGTGTTCAAGAGAGAACTCGATAAGCACCTCCAAAGGATACCTGATCAACCAGGCTGTGACTCATGCGTTAGGCTGCGAGCAGTCGTGTTTAACAGCCTGGTTACCTGCTTGATGGGGTTCTGGGAGTTCTTCTACTCCCCTACTGACTTGTGAGAGTTTGGTCCACCAGGCTGTTGCTTGGAGCGGCCCGCAGGCCCACATACCCACCACAGCCAGGTTGGTCCGGCACTCCTTGGAGGAAATGATCTAGTTTCCTCTTGAAGATGTCCAGGGTTGTTCCGGCAATATTTCTTATAGTCGCTGGGAGGACGTTGAACAACCGCGGACCTCTGATGTTTATACAGTGTTCTCTGATTGTGCCTATGGCACCTCTGCTCTTCACTGGTTCTATTCTGCATTTTCTTCCATATCGTTCACTCCAGTATGTTGTTATTTTACCGTGTAGATTTGGGGCCTGGCCCTCCAGTATCTTCCACGTGTATATTATTTGGTATCTCTCTCGTCTCCTTTCTAGTGAGTACATTTGGAGAGCTTTGAGACGATCCCAATAATTTAGGTGTTTTATCTCGTCTATGCGTGCCGTATATGTTCTCTGTATTCCCTCTATTTCAGCCATCTCTCCTGCTCTGAAGGGAGAAGTGAATACTGAGCAGTACTCAAGACGGGACAACACAAGTGACTTGAAGAGTACAATCATTGTGATGGGATCCCTGGATTTGAAAGTTCTCGTAATCCATCCTATCATTTTTCTGGCTGACGCAATATTTGCTTGGTTATGCTCCCTAAACGTTAGGTCGTCAGACATCATTATTCCCAAATCCTTTACAGGCTGTTTTCCTACTATGGGCACATTTGCTTGTTTTGTACCCTGTATTATGTTTAAGGTCCTCAGTTTTTACCGTATCTGAGTACCTGGAATTTATCACTGTTAAACATCATGTTATTTTCTGTTGCCCAGTCGAAAACTTTATTAATATCTGCTTGAAGTTTGTCAATGTCTTCAGCAGAGGTAATTTTCACTGACTTTTGTGTCATCTGCAAAGGATGATACGAAGCTGTGACTTGTATTTTGTCTATATCTGATATAAGAATAAGGAAAAACAGTGGTGCAAGGATTGTACCCTGAGGTACAGAGCTTTTAACTGCATTTGGATTCGATTTTTATATGTTTGACTGGAGGAGCCAGTCCAGTCAACCATATAAGACCAAAACCACGTCCTCCCAACCAGGAGGCCTGGTCGAGGACCGGGCCGCGGGAACGCTAAGTCCTGAAATCATCTTCAGGTTACCAAGATATGATGTTTACCTCAAATTCCTAAGTCTCTTACCCTGGCAAATTCCCCCAAAACTATCCCACAATGGCAAAATGGTAAGTAATTTGGGCATGGAAAATACCTCCATAAGACATCATACATTACAGCAGTTACGAAAGTACTTACGACCCTGGGGCCAGATTCATGAAGCAGTTACGCACGTACTTACGACCCTGGGGTAAGATTCATGAAGCAGTTACGCACGTACTTACGACCCTGGGGTCAGATTCATGAAGCAGTTACGCACGTACTTACGACCCTGGGGCCAGATTCATGAAGCAGTTACGCACGTACTTACGACCCTGGGGCCAGATTCACGAAGCAGTTACGCACGTACTTACGACCCTGGGGCCAGATTCACGAAGCAGTTACGCACGTACTTACGACCCTGGGTCCAGATTCACAAAGCAGTTACGCAAGTACTTACGACCCCGAGGCAAGATTCACAAAGCAGTTACGCAAGCACTTACGACCCTTGTCTCCTACCTGGCTCTGATAACCCTGGCCCGGCTCCCATTGTCCTCCCAGGGTATAATGAAACCTACCCTCCACCCCCGGGGGCATGGACACCCCATTAACTGCCCCCCCCGGGGGTATGGACACCCCATTAACTGTACCCCCCTGGGGCACGGACACCCCATTAACTGCCCCACCCGGGGGCATGGACACCCCATTAACTGCACCCCCCCGGGGGCATGGACACCCCATTAACTGCCCCCCCGGGGCATGGACACCCCATTAACTGCCCCCCGGGGGCATGGACACCCCATTAACTGTACCCCCCTGGGGCACGGACACCATTAACTGCACCCCCGGGGGCATGGACACCCCATTAACTGTACCCCCCTGGGGCACGGACACCATTAACTGCACCCCCGGGGGCATGGACACCCCATTAACTGCACCCCCCCCGGGGGTATGGACACCCTATTAACTGCCTCGGGGGCATGGACACACCATTAACTGCCCCCCGGGGGCATGGACACTCCATTAACTGCCCCCAGGGGCATGGACACCCCATTAACTGCCCCCGGGGCATGGACACCCCATTAACTGCCCCCCCCGGGGCATGGACACCCCATTAACTGCACCCCCGGGGCATGGACACCCCATTAACTGCCCCCCCCCGGGGCATGGACACCCCATTAACTGCACCCCCGGGGCATGGACACCCCATTAACTGCCCCCCCCCGGGAGAATGGACACCCCATTGACTGCCCCCCCCGGGAGCATGGACACCCCATTAACTGCCCCCCCCCCGCCGGGGGCACGGACACCCCATTAACTGCCCCCCCCGGGAGCATGGACACCCCATTAACTGCCCCCGGGGGCATGGACACCATTAACTGCCCCCCCGGGGCATGGACACCCCATTAACTGCCCCCGAGGGCATGGACACCCCATTAAGTGCACCCCCGGGGCATGGACACCCCATTAACTGCCCCCGAGGGCATGGACACCCCATTAACTGCACCCCCGGGGCATGGACACACCATTAACTGCACCCCCGGGGGCATGGACACCCCATTAACTGCCCCCGGGGGCATGGACACCCCATTAACTGCCCCCCGGGGGGCATGGACACCCCATTAACTGCCCCCCCGGGGGCATGGACACCCCATTAACTGCACCCAAGTGCAGGCGATGAGTCACAATAACGTGACTGAAGTATGTTGACTAGACCACACACTAGAAGTTGAAGGGACGACGACGTTTCGGTCCGTCCTGGACCATTCTCAAGTCGATTGAGAATTCTCACAATCGACTTGAGAATGGTCCTGGATGGACCGAAACGTCGTCGTCCCTTCAACTTCTAGTGTGTGGTCTAGTCAACAACTGCCCCCAAGTTGTTATCAGCTGGCGATGGTTAGCTTGTTTGACACTACGGGGGCGTGGCTTGTAGGCCGGTCTGCTCTAACACATCCATCACACAGCGATTTCTTAATTAAAGTTGTGTGACATGACGTGACCCGGACTGATCTCTTAACTACCGGGTGACGAGGTCAACTATCTGACCCCTTCACTACAGGGAGGAGAGGAGCATGGTGGACACTGGGAGGCCAGGATGGGGGGGGAGAGGAGCATGGTGGACACTGGGAGGCCAGGATGGGGGGGGGGAGAGGAGCATGGTGGACACTGGGAGGCCAGGATGGGGGGGGGGGGAGAGGAGCATGGTGGACACTGGGAGGCCAGGATGGGGGGGGGAGAGGAGCATGGTGGACACTGGGAGGCCAGGATGGGGGGGGGAGAGGAGCATGGTGGACACTGGGAGGCCAGGATGGGGGAGAGGAGCATGGTGGACACTGGGAGGCCAGGATGGGGGGGGAGAGAGGAGCATGGTGGACACTGGGAGGCCAGGATGGGGGGGGGGAGAGGAGCATGGTGGACACTGGGAGGCCAGGATGGGGGGAGAGGAGCATGGTGGACACTGGGAGGCCAGGATGGGGGGGGAGCATGGTGGACACTGGGAGGCCAGGATGGGGGGGGAGCATGGTGGACACTGGGAGGCCAGGATGGGGGGGGGGAGAGAGGAGCATGGTGGACACTGGGAGGCCAGGATGGGGGGGGGAGAGGAGCATGGTGGACACTGGGAGGCCAGGATGGGGGAGGAGCATGGTGGACACTGGGAGGCCAGGATGGGGGGGGAGAGGAGCATGGTGGACACTGAGAGGCCAGGATGGGGGGGGGAGAGGAGCATGGTGGACACTGGGAGGCCAGGATGGGGGGGGGAGAGGAGCATGGTGGACACTGGGAGGCCAGGATGGGGGGGGGAGAGGAGCATGGTGGACACTGGGGGGCCAGGATGGGGGGAAGAGAGGAGCATGGTGGACACTGGGAGGCCAGGATGGGGGGGGGGGAGAGGAGCATGGTGGACACTGGGAGGCCAGGATGGGGGGGGGGGAGAGGAGCATGGTGGACACTGGGAGGCCAGGATGGGGGGGGGGAGAGGAGCATGGTGGACACTGGGAGGCCAGGATGGGGGGGGGAGAGGAGCATGGTGGACACTGGGAGGCCAGGATGGGGGGGGGGAGAGGAGCATGGTGGACACTGGGAGGCCAGGATGGGGGGGGGGAGAGGAGCATGGTGGACACTGGGAGGCCAGGATGGGGGGGGGGGAGCATGGTGGACACTGGGAGGCCAGGATGGGGGGGGAGGAGCATGGTGGACACTGGGAGGCCAGGATAGGGGGGGAGGAGCATGGTGGATACTGGGAGGCCAGGATGGGGGAGAGGAGCATGGTGGACACTGGGAGGCCAGGATGGGGGGGAGAGGAGCATGGTGGACACTGGGAGGCCAGGATGGGGGGGGGAGGAGCATGGTGGACACTGGGAGGCCAGGATGGGGGGGGGAGGAGCATGGTGGACACTGGGAGGCCAGGATGGGGGGGGAGGAGCATGGTGGACACTGGGAGGCCAGGATGGGGGGGGGAGCATGGTGGACACTGGGAGGCAGGATGGGGGAGAGGAGCATGGTGGACACTGGAAGGCCAGGATGGGGGGGAGAGGAGCATGGTGGACACTGGAAGGCCAGGATGGGGGGGAAGAGGAGCATGGTGGACACTGGGAGGCCAGGATGGGGGGGAGCATGGTGGACACTGGGAGGCCAGGATGGGGGGGGGAGAGGAGCATGGTGGACACTGGGAGGCCAGGATGGGGGGGGAGAGGAGCATGGTGGACACTGGGAGGCCAGGATGGGGGGGGGAGCATGGTGGACACTGGGAGGCCAGGATGGGGGGGGGAGAGGAGCATGGTGGACACTGGGAGGCCAGGATGGGGGGGAGCATGGTGGACACTGGAAGGCCAGGATGGGGGGGAGAGGAGCATGGTGGACACTGGGAGGCCAGGATGGGGGGGAGAGGAGCATGGTGGACACTGGGAGGCCAGGATGGGGGAGAGGAGCATGGTGGACACTGGGAGGCCAGGATGGGGGGGGGAGAGGAGCATGGTGGACACTGGGAGGCCAGGATGGGGGAGAGGAGCATGGTGGACACTGGGAGGCCAGGATGGGGGGGGAGAGGAGCATGGTGGACACTGGGAGGCCAGGATGGGGGGGGGAGAGGAGCATGGTGGACACTGGGAGGCCAGGATGGGGGGGGAGCATGGTGGACACTGGAAGGCCAGGATGGGGGGGAGCATGGTGGACACTGGGAGGCCAGGATGGGGGGGGGAGAGGAGCATGGTGGACACTGGGAGGCCAGGATGGGGGGGGGGGAGAGGAGCATGGTGGACACTGGGAGGCCAGGATGGGGGGGAGCATGGTGGACACTGGGAAGCCAGGATGGGGGGGGGGGGAGAGGAGCATGGTGGACACTGGGAGGCCAGGATGGGGGGGGAGAGGAGCATGGTGGACACTGGGAGGCCAGGATGGGGGGGGGAGAGGAGCATGGTGGACACTGGGAGGCCAGGAAGGGGGGGGAGCATGGTGGACACTGGGAGGCCAGGATGGGGGGGGGAGCATGGTGGACACTGGGAGGCCAGGATGGGGGGGAGGAGCATGGTGGACACTGGGAGGCCAGGATGAGGGGGGGAGCATGGTGGACACTGGGAGGCCAGGATGGGGGGGGGGAGGAGCATGGTGGACACTGGGAGGCCAGGATGGGGGGGGGAGGAGCATGGTGGACACTGGGAGGCCAGGATGGGGGGGGGGGAGAATGGTGGACACTGGGAGGCCAGGATGGGGGGGGGGGAGCATGGTGGACACTGGGAGGCCAGGATGGGGGGGGAGAGGAGCATGGTGGACACTGGGAGGTCAGGAAGGGGAGGGGGAGGAGCATGGTGGACACTGGGAGGCCAGGAAGGGGGGGGGAGCATGGTGGACACTGGGATGCCAGGATGGGGGGGGAGGAGCATGGTGGACACTGGGAGGCCAGGATGGGGGGGGGGAGGAGCATGGTGGACACTGGGAGGCCAGGATGGGGGGGGGGAGAGGAGCATGGTGGACACTGGGAGGCCAGGATGGGGGGGGGAGGAGCATGGTGGACACTGGGAGGCCAGGAAGGGGGGGGGGAGCATGGTGGACACTGGGATGCCAGGATGGGGGGGGAGGAGCATGGTGGACACTGGGATGCCAGGATGGGGGGGGGAGGAGCATGGTGGACACTGGGAGGCCAGGATGGGGGGGGGGAGAGGAGCATGGTGGACACTGGGAGGCCAGGATGGGGGGGGGGAGGAGCATGGTGGACACTGGGAGGCCAGGAAGGGGGGGGGAGCATGGTGGACACTGGGAGGCCAGGATGGGTGGGGGAGGAGCATGGTGGACACTGGGAGGCCAGGAAGGGGGGGGAGCATGGTGGACACTGGGAGGCCAGGATGGGGGGGGGGGGAAGAGGAGCATGGTGGACACTGGGAGGTCAGGAAGGGGAGGGGGAGGAGCATGGTGGACACTGGGAGGCCAGGATGGGGGGGGGAGGAGCATGGTGGACACTGGGATGCCAGGATGGGGGGGGGAGAGGAGCATGGTGGACACTGGGAGGCCAGGATGGGTGGGGGAGAGGAGCATGGTGGACACTGGGAGGCCAGGATGGGGGGGGAGGAGCATGGTGGACACTGGGATGCCAGGATGGGGGGGGGAGAGGAGCATGGTGGACACTGGAAGGCCAGGATGGGGGGGGAGGAGCATGGTGGACACTGGGAAGCCAGGATGGGGGGGAGAGGAGCATGGTGGACACTGGGAGGCCAGGATGGGGGGGGAGAGGAGCATGGTGGACACTGGGAGGCCAGGATGGGGGGGGAGGAGCATGGTGGACACTGGGAGGCCAGGAAGGGGGGGGAGCATGGTGGACACTGGGAGGCCAGGAAGGGGGGGGAGAGAGGAGCATGGTGGACACTGGGAGGTCAGGAAGGGGAGGGGGAGGAGCATGGTGGACACTGGGAGGCCAGGAAGGGGGGGGGGAGGAGCATGGTGGACACTGGGAGGCCAGGATGGGGGAGGAGCATGGTGGACACTGGGATGCCAGGATGGGGGGGGGAGAGGAGCATGGTGGACACTGGGAGGCCAGGATGGGGGGGGGAGAGGAGCATGGTGGACACTGGGAGGCCAGGAAGGGGAGGGGGAGGAGCATGGTGGACACTGGGAGGCCAGGATGGGGGGGAGCATGGTGGACACTGGGAGGCCAGGATGGGGGGGAGGAGCATGGTGGACACTGGGAGGCCAGGATGGGGGGGGAGAGGAGCATGGTGGACACTGGGAGGCCAGGATGGGGGGGGAGCATGGTGGACACTGGGAGGCCAGGATGGGGGGGGGGGGGGAGCATCGTGGACACTGGGAGGCCAGGATGGGGGGGAGCATGGTGGACACTGGGAGGCCAGGATGGGGGGGGAGCATGGTGGACACTGGGAGGCCATGATGGGGGGGGGGGAGGAGCATGGTGGACACTGGGAGGCCAGGATGGGGGGGGGGAGAGGAGCATGGTGGACACTGGGAGGCCAGGATGGGGGGGGGGGAGAGGAGCATGGTGGACACTGGGAGGCCAGGATGGGGGGGGGGAGAGGAGCATGGTGGACACTGGGAGGCCAGGATGGGGGGGGGGGGGGAGAGGAGCATGGTGGACACTGGGAGGCCAGGATGGGGGGGGGGGAGGAGCATGGTGGACACTGGGAGGCCAGGATGGGGGGGGGGAGAGGAGCATGGTGGACACTGGGAGGCTAGGATGGGGGGGGGGGAGAGGAGCATGGTGGACACTGGGAGGCCAGGATGGGGGGGGGAGAGGAGCATGGTGGACACTGGGAGGCCAGGATGGGGGGGGGGAGAGGAGCATGGTGGACACTGGGAGGCCAGGATGGGGGGGGGAGAGGAGCATGGTGGACACTGGGAGGCCAGGATGGGGGGGGGAGAGGAGCATGGTGGACACTGGGAGGCCAGGATGGGGAGGAGAGGAGCATGGTGGACACCGGGAGGCCAGGATGGGGGGGGAGAGGAGCATGGTGGACACTGGGAGGCCGCTACTCCCATGTCTCTCCCACAGCCACCATAACGATGCGGCGCGACCATTGAGGCGTGTAGTGTGAGGCAGCAGGAGGCGTGTAGTGTGAGGCAGCAGGAGGCGACTGTGAGGCAGCAGGAGGCGACTGTGAGTCTCCTCCCGGCCTGACGACACCACCAGCGCCGCCAAACTCCTCAAACCGTTGAGTTCGCGGGTGGCAGTTACTGATTCCATCCTGCGTTGCCACTTCTTCTCCACAAACAACTCACACTTGGCTTCCACTCACACTTCATGGTGCCGTTTGTGCCTCACACACTCCTACAAGTCCACCGGGAGGAACACCAGTTGCACGCGAGCGTGGGTGACGGTAGAGAGAGAGATTAGTGTGAGGAGAAGGCAGAGGAGAGGCACCTCAACTCTCCCAACTCCCTCCACACCTCTCAGCCGCGCCGTCTCATCAACAATATTAATAATGTCAAACTATTTTCCCAACCTTTTCCAATTTCCTCCTCGCTAATTTGCTACTAATATTGCCGGTGTTGGCAAGTGGGTGGCGTGAGTGCGTGAGCCTGGCCAGTGTTGTGTGTTGAGGCTCAGGGGTGTGGCCAGAGTACCGCGTGCACACATTCGCACGCGGGGGCAAGATGGCCGCCGCGGCGCCTGGTATTGGCTGGCGGGCAGGGGGGGGGCGGGGCCGGCCGCACGCTGCACCAACCAGCAAGCGCTTGCAAGCAGAGAGAGCCGCCGCCGCCTCCTACAGGTTACAAGCACGCGGTCAGCAGCAGGTGTCGGGGCGGGCCGCAGGGTGCAGCGGCCCCCGCCCTGACCACCAGGACGCCGGGGGGCGGCGGCTCATCCTGCACACCCGCTACTCTCCTCTCTCTCTCTCTCTCTCTCTCTCTCTCTCTCTCTCTCACACACCACACTACCCGCCTCTCCCCCTGGCGGCGGCCCATCACACATCCCCCTCGGCCAGTGGTGGCCCATCACCCACGGCCAGTGGTGGCCCATCACCCACGGCCAGTGGCGGCCCATCACCCACGGCCAGTGGCGGCCCATCACACATCCCCTCACCCACGTCCAGTGGCGGCCCATCACCCACATCCAGTGGTGGCCCATCACCCACGTCCAGTGGCGGCCCATCACCCACATCCAGTGGTGGCCCATCACCCACTTCCAGTGACTGCCCATCACACATACCCTCACCCACAGCCAGTGGTGGCCCATCACCCACGTCCAGTGGCGGCCCATCACCCACATCCAGTGGTGGCCCATCACCCACTTCCAGTGGCTGCCCATCACACATACCCTCACCCACAGCCAGTGGCGGCCCATCACCCACGGCCAGTGGCGGCCCATCACACATCCCCTCACCCACGTCCAGTGGCGGCCAATCACCCACGGCCAGTGGCGGCCCATCACCCACGGCCAGTGGCGGCCCATCACACATCCCCTCACCCACGTCCAGTGGCGGCCCATCACCCACGGCCAGTGGCGGCCCATCACACATCCCCTCACCCACGTCCAGTGGCGGCCCATCACCCACGTCCAGTGGCTGCCCATCACACATACCCTCACCCACAGCCAGTGGCGGCCCATCACCCACGTCCAGTGGCGGCCCATCACCCACTTCCAGTGGCTGCCCATCACCCACGTCCAGTGGCGGCCCATCACCCACGTCCAGTGGCGGCCCATCACCCACGTCCAGTGGCGGCCCATCACCCACGTCCAGTGGCGGCCCATCACCCACGTCCAGTGGCGGCCCATCACCCACAGCCAGTGGCGGCCCATCACCCACATCCAGTGGCGGCCCATCACCCACTTCCAGTGGCTGCCCATCACCCACGTCCAGTGGCGGCCCATCACCCACAGCCAGTGGCGGCCCATCACCCACGTCCAGTGGCGGCCCATCACCCACTTCCAGTGGCTGCCCATCACCCACGTCCAGTGGCGGCCCATCACCCACTTCCAGTGGCTGCCCATCACCCACGTCCAGTGGCGGCCCATCACCCACAGCCAGTGGCGGCCCATCACCCACGTCCAGTGGCGGCCCATCACCCACTTCCAGTGGCTGCCCATCACCCACGTCCAGTGGCGGCCCATCACCCACGTCCAGTGGCGGCCCATCACCCACTTCCAGTGGCTGCCCATCACATCCCCTCACCCACGTCCAGTGGCTGCCCATCACCCACGTCCAGTGGCGGCCCATCACCCACGTCCAGTGGCGGCCCATCACCCACTTCCAGTGGCTGCCCATCACCCACGTCCAGTGGCGGCCCACCACCAATACCCTCACCCACGTCCAGTGGCGGCCCATCACCCACGTCCAGTGGCGGCCCATCACCCACGTCCAGTGGCGGCCCATCACCCACGTCCAGTGGCGGCCCATCACCCACGGCCAGTGGCGGCCCATCACCCACGGCCAGTGGCGGCCCATCACCCACGGCCAGTGGCGGCCCATCACACATCCCCTCACTCATGTCCAGTGGCGGCCCATCACCCACGTCCAGTGGCGGCCCATCACCCACGTCCAGTGGCGGCCCATCACCCACGTCCAGTGGCTGCCCATCACCAATACCCTCACCCACGTCCAGTGGCGGCCCATCACCCACGTCCAGTGGCGGCCCATCACCCACGTCCAGTGGCGGCCCATCACCCACGTCCAGTGGCTGCCCATCACCCACGTCCAGTGGCTGCCCATCACCAATACCCTCACCCACGTCCAGTGGCGGCCCATCACCCACGGCCAGTGGCGGCCCATCACACACACGGCCAGTGGCGGCCCATCACCCACGTCCAGTGGCTGCCCATCACACATACCCTCACCCACGTCCAATGGCGGCCCATCACCCACGTCCAATGGCGGCCCATCACCAATACCCTCACCCACGTCCAGTGGCGGCCCATCACACATCCCCTCACTCACGTCCAGTGGCGGCCCATCACACATCCCCTCACTCACGTCCAGTGGCGGCCCATCACACATCCCCTCACTCACGTCCAGTGGCGGCCCATCACACATCCTCTCACCCACGTCCAGTGGCGGCCCATCACCCACGTCCAGTGGCGGCCCATCACCCTCGTCCAGTGGCGGCCCATCACACATCCCCTCACCCACGTCCAGTGGCGGCCCATCACACATCCCCTCACCCACGTCCAGTGGCGGCCCATCACACATTCCCTCACCCACGTCCAGTGGCGGCCCATCATCCACGTCTAGTGGCGGCCCATCACACATCCCCACACCCACGTCCAGTGGCGGCCCATCACACATCCCCTCACCCACGTCCAGTGACGGCCCATCACCCACGTCCAGTGGCGGCCCATCACCCATCCCCCTCACTCACGTCCAGTGGCGGCCCATCACACATTCCTTCATCCTCGGCCAGTGGCGGCCCATCACACATCCCTTCACCCTCGGCCAGTGGCGGCCCATCACACATCCCCTCACCCTCGGCCAGTGGCGGCCCATCACACATCCCTTCACCCTCGGCCAGTGGCGGCCCATCACACATCCCTTCACCCTCGGCCAGTGGCGGCCCATCACACATCCCCTCACCCTCGGCCAGTGGCGGCCCATCACACATCCCTTCACCCTCGGCCAGTGGCGGCCCATCACCAATACCCTCACTCACGTCCAGTGGCGGCCCATCACACATCCCCCTCACCCACGTCCAGTGGCGGACCATCACACATTCCTTCATCCTCGGCCAGTGGCGGCCCATCACACATCCCTTCACCCTCGGCCAGTGGCGGCCCATCACACATCCCCTCACCCTCGGCCAGTGGCGGCCCATCACACATCCCTTCACCCTCGGCCAGTGGCGGCCCATCACACATCCCTTCACCCTCGGCCAGTGGCGGCCCATCACACATCCCTTCACCCTCGGCCAGTGGCGGCCCATCACACATCCCTTCACCCTCGGCCAGTGGCGGCCCATCACACATCCCTTCACCCTCGGCCAGTGGCGGCCCATCACACATCCCTTCACCCTCGGCCAGTGGCGGCGCATCACACATCCCTTCACCCTCGGCCAGTGGCGGCCCATCACACATCCCTTCACCCTCGGCCAGTGGCGGCCCATCACACATCCCTTCGCCCTCGGCCAGTGGCGGCCCATCACACATCCCTTCACCCTCGGCCAGTGGCGGCCCATCACACATCCCTTCACCCTCGGCCAGTGGCGGCCCATCACACATCCCTACACCCTCGGCCAGTGGCGGCCCATCACACATCCCTTCACCCTCGGCCAGTGGCGGCCCATCACACATCCCTTCACCCTCGGCCAGTGGCGGCCCATCACACATCCCTTCACCCTCGGCCAGTGGCGGCCCATCACACATCCCTTCACCCTCGGCCAGTGGCGGCCCATCACACATCCCTTCACCCATCAGTACTGAGCTGGTAAACACCACAAACAATATGGTGGGCTGATAATCAAAATAGAGATTTTAAATGTAGTTGTTGTCCTTGTATATAAGTCACCGGAGGCAAACCCTCAGCAGTTTAAAGACCAACTAATGAAAATAGAGCACTGCTTGGAAAACCTCACAAATCCAGCTCCGAACATCATCCTGCTTGGGGACTTCAACCTACGGCACCTGAAATGGAAGCACCTGGCTAATACAGTAATATCAGAAAGAATACCAGGAAGTAGCCTAAATGAACAGGCACATGCAAATGACCTGCTACGGATGTGTGACAGGTTTGCCTTAAACCAGCAAATAGTAGAACCAACTAGGAAGGAGAACACGCTGGACCTCATTTTCCCTAATAATGATGAATTGATCAGGAACATAATGATTACAAATACCTGTTACTCAGATCACAACTTAATTGAAGTTCTGACATCCATGGGAAATGGACCTTCAAAACCAGTCCAGATTCCCGGTGGAGGAGATTTCAGCAAATTCAACTTCAATAATAAACAGATAAACTGGGAGCAAATAAACCAGGACTTCACAGAAATAAACTGGAAAGAACAGCTAGAAAATGCAAACCTGAACCACTGCCTGGAAAAAATAAGCTCAGTAGCACTAGAAATATGTTCAAACCGCATACCCCTAAGAAAAAAGAGAAAGATGCAGATTGGAACGGGAACGTCGTTCCCTATATAGGCGAAGAAAGCGAATCGCTGAACAACTTGAGAGTCGCACCCTATCTCAAGAACGGCGAAGAAGGTTAGGTAGCGAAATAGAAACAATTGAACTCAAGCTACAAGAATCATACAAAACCCAGGAGAGGCAAAGAGAGCAAAAGGCCATCAGTGAAATAGAGAGAAATCCGAAATATTTTTTCTCCTATGCAAAATCAAGATAAAAAACACCATCTAGTATCGGGCCCCTGCGAAAGGGAGATGGAACTTTCACCGATGACAACAAAGAAATGAGCGAGCTACTGAGGAAGCAGTACGACTCTGTTTTCAGCGAGCCATTAAATGCACTAAAGATTGATAACCCAAATGAATTTTTCATGGATATGATACCTACAACAAATCATATATCAGACGTCGCCCTATCCCAACTGGATTTTGAAGAAGCCATAAACAGTATGCCTATGCACTCTGCACCAGGCCCGGATTCTTGGAACTCCATATTCATCAAGAACTGTAAAAACCCACTATCGCAGGCCTTCCACATTCTGTGGAGACAAAGCCTAGATACTGGCGTTATCCCTGATACACTAAAAACAGCAGAGATAGCACCACTCCATAAAGGAGGAAATAAGGCAGAGGCAAACAATTACAGACCGATAGCACTAACATCGCACATCATAAATTTTGAGAGAGTGTGCTTAGAAGTAAGATCACAAAATACATGGAATCACAGCATCTCCATAACCCCGGACAACATGGTTTCAGAACAGGGCGCTCTTGCCTGTCGCAGTTGCTGGACCACTATGATATGGCATTAGATGCTATGGAAGACAAACAAAACGCTGATGTAATTTACACAGATTTCGCAAAAGCTTTTGATAAATGTGACCATGGTGTTATTACACATAAAATGCGTTCAAAAGGAATTACCGGAAAAATAGGCAGATGGATCTACAATTTCCTGACTAACAAAACCCAATGTGTAATAGTCAACAAAATAAAATCCAGCCCATCAACCGTGAAGAGCTCGGTCCCCCAGGGTACTGTGCTTGCTCCAGTACTTTTTCTCATCCTCATATCGGACATAGACAAGAACACAACCTATAGCACTGTATCATCCTTTGCAGATGACACTAGGACCTTCATGAGAGTAGACAACATAGAGGACACGGCAAACCTCCAATCAGATATAGATCAGGCCTTTCTATGGGCTACAGAAAATAATATGGTGTTTAACGAGGATAAGTTCCAGCTCATGCGCTACGGAAAAATTGAAAATATAAAAATGGAAACCACGTACAAAACGCAGGCAAATCATAACATAGAACGAAAAGGCAATGTAAAGGACCTGGGTGTACTCATGTCGGAAGACCTTACCTTTAAAGAACACAATAAAGTAGCCGTCACAACTGCAAGAAAAATGACAGGTTGGATAACAAGAACTTTTCACACTAGAGATGCTATACCGATGATGATACTTTTCAGAACGCTTGTGCTCACTAGAGTGGAGTACTGCTGCACAATGACATCCCCTTTCAAAGCTGGAGAAATTGCTGACCTGGAGAGCGTGCAGAGATCCTTTACTGCTAGAATCCACTCAGTAAAACATCTAAATTACTGGGACCGACTAAAGAGTCTAAATCTGTACTCCCTTGAGCGCAGGCGGGAGAGATACATAATAATTTACACGTGGAAAATAATTGAGGGGCTGGTCCCAAACCTGCACACAGAAATAACACCACATGAGACCAGAAGGCATGGCAGGATGTGCAGAATACCCCCGTTGAAAAGCAGAGGTGCAACAGGTACTCTGAGAGAGAACTCTATCAACATCAGAGGCCCGAGACTGTTCAACACGCTTCCACTACACATAAGGGGCATAACTGGCCGACCCCTCACAGTGTTCAAGAGAGAACTATCAACATCAGAGGCCCGAGACTGTTCAACACGCTTCCACTACACATAAGGGGCATAACTGGCCGACCCCTCACAGTGTTAAAGAGAGAACTATCAACATCAGAGGCCCGAGACTGTTCAACACGCTTCCACTACACATAAGGGGCATAACTGGCCGACCCCTCACAGTGTTCAAGAGAGAACTATCAACATCAGAGGCCCGAGACTGTTCAACATGCTTCCACTACACATAAGGGACATAACTGGCAGACCCCTCACAGTGTTCAAGAGAGAACTATCAACATCAGAGGCCCGAGACTGTTCAACACGCTTCCACTACACATAAGGGACATAACTGGCAAACCCCTCACAGTGTTCAAGAGAGAACTGGATAAGCACCTCTAAAGGATACCTAATCAACCAGGCTGTGACTCATACGTCAGGCTGCGAGCAGCCGCGTCCAACAGCCTGGTTGATCAGTTCAGCATCCAGGAGGCCTGGTCGACGACCGGGCCGCGGGGACGCTAAACCCCGGAAGCACCTCAAGGTAAGGTAAGGTAACCCTCGGCCAGGCCACACCACCTAATCAATGAAGGCAGCCAAACTGTTTACCAAGTTGCTGTTAGCACCAGCTGGTCTAATGTCCCCCCCCCCCCCCAATCACTGTCCTGGCCCGTCCCTCCTCCACCACACTCCTCTTGACTACCTGTAACCCTCCACCACCGGGTCATACCTGCAGATGTTTCTGGAGTTCTTCTACTCCCAGGCCCGGTCTGAGGCCAGCCAGGCTCGACTTGTGAAAGTTTGGTCCAACAGGCTGCTGCTTGGAGCCGCTCGCAGGTCTACATATCCACTACAGCCTGGTTGGTCCGGCACTTCTTGCAAGAACTTATCTAAGTGTCTCTTATACATCCGCTTTTGTTCCTGCAATATTTTGTATAATCGCTGGGAGGATGTTGAACAACCGCGGACCTCTGATGTTTATACAGTGTTCTCTGATTGTGCCTATGGCACCTCTGCTCTTCACTGGTTGTATTCTGCATTTTCTTCCATATCGTTCACTCCAGTACGTTGTTATTTTACTGTGTAGATTTGGGACCTGGCCCTCCAGTATCTTCCATGTGTATATTATTTGGTATCTCTCTCGTCTCCTTTCTAGAGAGTACATTTGGAGAGCTTTGAGACGATCCCAATAATTTAGGTGCTTTATCGCGTCTATGCGTGCCGTATATGTTCTCTGTATTCCCTCTATTTCAGCAATCTCTCCTGCTTTGAAGGGGAAAGTGAGTACTGAGCAGTACTCAAGACGGGACAACACAAGTGACTTGAAGAGTACAACCATTGTGATGGGATCCCTGAATTTGAAAGTTCTCGTAATCCATCCTATCAATATATCAGTTATATTTACAACCTACCTTCCAATCACCGACCGTCCAAGTGGTTGGCCACCATTCCTTCCCCCCGTCCTATCCCAAATCCTTATCCTGATCCCTTCCCAGTGCTATATAGTCATAATGGCTTGGCGCTTACCACTGATTATTCCCTTCCCTTCCTGCGGGCAGGAGTGAAAGGGAAGGTACTCCGCTGGATAAGGGAGTACCTAAGCAACAGAAGACAGCGAGTCACTGTGAGGGGTGAGGTCTCAGACTGGCGAGACGTCACCAGTGGAGTTCCACAGGGGTCAGTCCTTGGCCCTATACTGTTTCTGATATATGTAAATGATCGACCAGAGGGTATAGACTCGTTCCTCTCATTGTTTGCTGATGATACAACAATTATGAGGAGGATTAAGAAAGAAAAAGATAGGATGAGGCTACAAGATGACCTAGACAAACTGAATGAATGGTCTAACAAATGGCTACTAAGTTCAACTAGAGTAAATGTAAGGTAATGAAACTAGGCAGTGGAAACAGGAGGCCAGACACAGGATACCGAAGGGAAGATGAAGTCCTTCATGAAACGGACAGAGAGAAAGATCTAAGAGTTGATATCACACCAAATCTGTCTCCTATAACTCACATTAAAAGTACAATACTGTCACTATGGCGGTGTGTCCATTCACAGGATGAGTGGCTCTGCCCAATACTGTCACTATGGCGGTGTGTCCACTCGCAGGATGAGTGGCGCTGCCCAATGCTGTCACTATGGCGGTGTGTCCACTCACAGGATGAGTGCCGCTGCCCAATACTGTCACTATGGCGGTGTGTCCACTCACAGGATGAGTGGCGCCCTCCACACCTGTCTCTGGGGCACACCTGTCCCTCACACCCACCTCTCGACACATCTGACCCTCCACACCTGCCTCTGGGACACATCTGTCCCTCCACACCTACCTCTGGGACACATCTGCCCCTCCACACCTACCTCTGGGGCACATCTGCCCCTCCA